CAATGAACTGACTTTAATTGAAAAATGGACTGTTTGTTATTGTCCTCTTGCATTATTGACAAACTATTTTCCTGTTTGACTCTGTAAAGCTGCTTTGAACACAATCTGTATTGTATAAAGCGCTATAAACCACTTATATTTATTTGATACCACCCATTTTAGTCTATCCCTATATCTTATTCTATTCTATCTATAGCACATATGTACATACAATTTTTGTCTATTTTTGTTTATATATGTGTGTGTGTGTGTATTTTATTCACATATCTTTATTTTTTATTATCTGTGTGTTGTTGTTGTCTCTGTGTACTGGAAGCTTCTGTCACCAAAACAAATTCCTTGTATGTGCAAACATACTTGGCAATAAATCTTCTAAATATTGGTGACTTGACTCTATCAGTGGTTTCCAGGCATAAGGAGCATTTAAATGTTTATAATGTCAATCCCATGCAAACCTTTGTTTAGCACTCGGTTTGACATCTGTGATGGCAAACCTGTTGCAAAATATTAAGCAGCACAACTGTTTTTTATCATTGATACTAAGAAATGTGTTTAGGTGCCAGATAGTGTAGTTATAGTATCTACCAGTAGGGACTACCAGGAACATGCTAACTAGCTAAACTTGGGTTTTAATATGCATTACTGAAATGTGATTGATGTTGAAAATGTACTGCGTGCCAGATTTAAACTCACTTCAGCTGCACGAGCAGCACTGTAGGCAGCAGCTGAATAGCTGGCATTATGTGGTGAGTCTGTTAGCAGAACCGGAGATGTGGGACCGCCGGGCCTCAGGGTCAGTACAGGTCTGAGTGAGTGTGTGTGTGTGTGTGTGCTGGACTCCCACTTGCTCCTTCATATCATTAAATGTGGGCCAGAGCAGGAAAGACTGAACAAGCCTGGAATCATTGGAGTTTCCAAAACACATTCCTCATTTAACATGCGCTACACACACTGCTTACCAACAAAACACACACTGCTTTCCCTCTTGTGAAGGTCACCATCAGCCTAAATGCTGTCAAACCTTTCCTGAACAACACACCTACGCCATTAAAAGCTTTTACACTGTTTTAATCTGTCCGTCTGAATCGTTTTGGCATGCTATATCAATCTACTGATCTGTCGTTCTGTCTGTTGTTCTATTGATTGTTTTGATATTCTATCATTCTGTTCATTGTTCCGTCTATAAACCCACAAACTTAAAGACTTCTTTTTCTAAACTTTCAAACAAGTCTTTGTCAAGCCAGCATTCAAAGTCTATATTGACAAACTTTTCTTTCTAGTTAAAAATGTTAACTTTTTTTTTTATTTCAGTTCTTTTCAATTCTACTTTCTTAAATTTAAATTTAAAAAATCCAATTCAGCATCCTTTTTGATGGCACAGTTCAAATTTTATTCAAATTCAGGAGTTCTTTTATCAGTGAACTCTTTCCTTTGATCGTGTTTCAACTTCTTTCTTTTACATGCACTTTGTAATTGGTTTCACTTACACTATCGTGATGAAATCCGGCTTCTTATCTTAATTAGTTTGACACCCTTTGTTGCAGTTGCACGTATGATTAGATAAGAAAAGCCCCTGTGCATCATAACTGTATACTGAATTGAAATCAGGCCGGAGAGCAGCAGCCAAGTACAGTTACTCAATCACCCCGTCCCAGCATAAGCCCTTCTAAGCCTCTGCCCCAAGATAAAGTCCTACTGTTTCACTGCTCCATTCATACACTTCAGTCTCAGATGCTAGATTACACGCACACACACACACACACACAAGTGTCTGTGAATATGGAAGACGGCATACAGGGTGAAGAGTCTTTTGGATTGTAGATTAAGAAGAGGAGACGTATTGTGATGTTTTATTCTGAAGACTAGAATGAGGAAGTCTGGAAGTTTCAGGTTGAGAGAGAGAGAGAGACTGTTGAGAAGCATTCCCACATTAGTGCCCTGCATGGGGCCTGAGAGAGAGATGTTAGCATGCACAAATATCCATCTTAGTCACAAACTGTTAAGAATGATGTTGCAATCCACTCACTGAGAGGCACATTTTTAAAAACAGTGCTGGAGGGGCTAATTTGGGGGGGGCTGCTTAAATCTACCTTACATAAATTCATTGTGCCCTTGCACGAGTGTGTACGCAAAAGAGGATTTAATTCCCAGTTGAACATTAAAGTCCTAAATCACTTGCTGTTTGTGACCTCACACCGTCTGTTTGACCTTTTCTCACATTAGGCACACACTGCGTGTTCAGATTTATCCTGTAAGCTTTGTTCACTTTTGAAGGCCTTAGACTCATTGTTCAGTGGAAGAAACTGTCTCAACCCACCAGGAGGGGGAGCCACTGAGGTGACATTCAATCTGAAGCGGCATCATTACAAGACTCAAACCAACAGGTGAAGTGACCCTCAGAAGGTATTGACACACTAAGTGATACCAATAAAATGACGTCACACCTCTGTTAACAAATATAGTAGTGCTTTTTCAGAATCTAAACATTTTAGCAACTACTTTTAAGTGACAGCTGTAGTGCTTTAGTGGATATATGAAGTCAGTTCCTCAAACGAAAAACCAATAGCCAGTGTCCAAATACTTGTTTATTTTGCAGCATTTCTATTATTATATCTACTGTTTTACCGTTTAAAACCTGCATTTTGTAAATAAAATGATGTATAAAATGAATGCCACTTAATTGAATAATTTATATTTAATGCAATTTAAAATGAATGCAGTTTAATCCAAAATTTTGGAGGTATGTGGGTTGTGGTGAAGGCATGATTCCATGTTGCATCCTGCAAGTCAGAGTTCGAAATAGCCTGATCCATATCATGACTTACGACAGGTTACGAAGGGGAAATCCGAGAAACTACGTTACAGGTGGCACGTCTCTCTTGCGCTCCCTGTGCCAAATGCAGACAGTCAAGTGACACATACTATCTCATGGAACTACAGGTCACACACACACACACACGCGCACACCTGTGTGGCAAGCCATTTTAACATATATTCTGTAAAACTACCTTTATGTATTTGTATTTAATAGCATTATTTATCCTCAATTATACTAGTAAAATAAACCAATAGTGTCTAGTATCAGTTTCACTACTACCCATTCTTTGGATACTAATACGTATTCCAATTGAATACACTAGTATTCAATTGTTCACTTATTCTTTACATACTATTGTTTACCTTCCTTTGCAACTAGTTACTATATCAATAGTTTTACTGATATTTATTTATGAGAAAATAGTATTTGTCACAATTTGTAGGGTTAATTCAGGATAATTGGGCAATTTTACCAGTCATCTCATTAGAAACAAGTGTCCCAATTTACCTCAGTTCATGCTACCTAGTAACACTGCATATTATAGTTACAATTGCTATTTAAAACAAAACAAAACTATTGAATAGTTGAAATTGACAAAAACTTAAAAGTCATTACTATTACTTTGAAGCTATTTAAAATAAGTATTGCTAACAAATATGATCGATACTAACAACAGATGATGAATGTTAAAATGGCTTGCCATGAACATACATACTTAAACTTTAGCTTAGTAATGTAATGTCTGGTCTGCATTGCATCTGTTTATATAAGAGTAATGGTAACACACTTTACAGTAAGGCTTCATTTGTTTTCATTAGTTAACCTGCCAACCCTGAAACAACATACAGAACTACCACATTTTGCTATAAGTTTGATTGCATCATATAATAATTGCTGTTAATAGTGTTCATCGTCTGTTTGATTACGTCTTTAATTGATTTTTCCGTACATTTCTGCCATATGTACATTAACTGACAGTCACCACTGATAAGCTACCACTAAATATTGTAGAAACTTAATTTGCTGTTTAAGTTGCTTTGCAACGATTTGTATCGTGAAAAGCGCTATACAAATAAACTTGAATTGAACTAACAATGAACCATATGTCTACAACATTTATTAATCCTAAATGTCAATTTCAAAATTAGATTTAAAAAATGCATTAGTAAAAGCTGGATCTGTTAAATTAGTTAATGCACTATGGACTATCATGAACAATTGTAGTTTCTTAACTAACATTAACAAAGATTAATAAATTATGTAAATATATTGCTCATGGTAAGTTCATTTTAGGTAATGCATCGACTAATGTTAACAATTTAAGATATTTTGTTACTAGATTTATTTGCATATGAATAACGCGCACGAGCTCTACATAAACATTTCCAAACCTTAGTGATACTGAGAATATCGTTCATAGTGTTTGTATAATATATATATATATATATATATAGCATCCATACGGTCATGATAGCTGATGTGACCGGGCGGCGCCGGTGTCCCGCGCGTCTCTCACCTGTTGCGCAGCGGCAGCGCGAGTGTTTGCAGAGGCAGAAGAAACACACACACGAGCTGCAGAGATTTCATGACAGCAGTCTGTTCTCCTCTACAGTCCCAGTGAAAGAGGTTGAGATGACGTTCCTCAGCTCAGGTAGACATGCACGTGCAGCTGCGGAGGAGAGAAGAGGAAACAAGAGGAAGTTCGTAAAGTTACAACGAAAAGCTACTTTTAAAGAGAGCAGAAACTTATTCACCCCTTACTTTAAAAGACACACTGATATGGAGAGGATACCGACGTGTCCCGCTCATTTCATGTTATCACACGTGTGTAAGACTGTTGAAATCGCGGGATTTAAAGGACTTTGATTGATTTGGCTGGAGAAACTCTCAGTACTGACTCAGAAAACTTCAGGCTCTCGTGGATGGAGCAGATGCTTAAATACTGAGAGGGAGGAGACACGGGATAACTGGCACTTCAGGCTTGGTACAGTTATTATGAATCAGTATCTTCCTTACAGCAACTAATTATTTCATATCCCAATGTGGATTTCTGTTAATACTTCTGAGACTCCACAGGCACTTGATTAACTAAAAATACATCTATCTATAATGTGGTAGAATATGAATAAAATGTATTCAATAGCTAGATAGATAGATGGATGGATAGATAGAATGTTGTGGTCAATATGAAAAATTTTTTAAAAATTATTTGATATGTAATGTGTTTTATGCACAAAATACAATATTTATTTATTTATTCATTCGTGCGGCTCTTTATTCAAGTGAACATGAGACTCCTAGGAACGCTGGTTCTTGAGGGAAATATTGTTTCAAGTGTTCAGCTGATGCCAAGCCTTTTAAGTAGCTATGTGTCATGATATAAAAATATAATTGTTCTGTCAGGTGTGACATGGTGGCTTAATTTAAAGGTCAGAGACAATAACAGAAGAGTGTGTTTAGTTTTATAGAGCTCTCTGTGTCCTGTGCCCTTTTAAAGAGGATTAACAACAGTTGAGTTAATGTTAATGAGAGTCAGGCACTGATGCTTGTGTGTTTTGGTGTCTCTGTTGTGAATCTTGTTTAAGGTAATTTTAGAGGTCCGTTAGACTTTGACCTCAGTGTGATTTTTGAAGCAATGTGATTGTCTAAACTGTATAACAGCATTAAACGAGTGTTTTCGATTGTCGTTTTGCATGATTGTGTTTTTATAGCTTAGCAGCATAAAGGTCAAGTTTTTTTTATGTCAGTGTGTTCAGAGGCTTCTGATTGTCTTTATGTTTAAAAGCTTAGGATGTTTATTGTATCTCGGTCTCATAAATTATGTCATAAACTTGGGTGTCTCGTTATTTGGAAAACGTTATTTTACAAGTTTAATTTACTAAATAGATGCATTTTGTGAAAATGTTCTGAGCCTCCTATTAGTTCAAAACCATAGATTTTTCTTCTATGGATCAAAGCAGCAGTTATTTAGCAAAAATGTCCAGATATTGGAATATTGTTGTGTATTAGCATGTTAGTTTGTGACTTGTGATTGTTAATAATTTTCAGGACAAACAGATATGTAACTCTCTCGTTTTCATGCAATATAAATAATTAGCAGTGCATTAGCCCTTGAAATGGATCGGTTTCTGCAAACACCTCCTGAGCTGTGTGTGCGTGTGTGTGTGTGTGTGTTTGTGTGTATTGCGTGTATTGCGTCATGGGTCAGACAGCAACAGGATACGCTTGCATTCATGCCTCAGTTCTCTCAGACAGAGCTGCCTGCTTGTGTGTAAGTGTATATTTGTGTGTCTGTCCAAGTGTCTCTCTTCACTTATTATACATTATTATAATACGAAACTCAGCAAAGTATTATAATCCTTTTAAAATCTGTCTAAATCAGATGCACAAATCTTATCTATTTTAAAACACTGTGTTTGTGTGTATTGCGTCATGGGTCAGACAGCAACAGGATACGCTTGCATTCATGCCTCAGTTCTCTCAGACAGAGCTGCCTGCTTGTGTGTAAGTGTATATTTGTGTGTCTGTCCAAGTGTCTCTCTTCACTTATTATACATTATTATAATACGAAACTCAGCAAAGTATTATAATCCTTTTAAAATCTGTCTAAATCAGATGCACAAATCTTATCTATTTTAAAACACTATTTGATATGTTATATTAATGTCTAGAATAAAAATTGTGACACCCATGAATTTTACAAGAATTTACATCAATTTGAATAATTTCTACTGCATTGTGTGCAATAATAAAAAAGCAAATCTCCATCCATTTTCAGAATTTTCAGATTATTTTATTTATTTTACGACTATTGCATTGTTGACTGACTGCATTCATCAAGCTCAACCATTCAACCCTGTTACCAAAGTTAACAAAACTTTTTTTTTTTTTCAGAAAACAGAAGTTTATCAATAATAACAAACTAGCATTTGCTTCCAAACTAGCTATACTTATTTATTCCAATTTAAACTGAATTTATCATTTGTGCATATAATTTTTTATATATGGTTATTGTTAGAAAATAAAATCACACGGTTTTAAAATGTATTTAGACAGTCCTTTATTTTGGTTACAGGTTGCAAACACTGCATACTCAAACAATATTTAATTTGCCTTCCTGAAGTAGATTACCATTTATAAGAGATTTAGGGCCCTATTTTGTTCCCTGTTTGTGAAAATTACCTCTGATCCAACATAATTTTAAACCTGAACACAATATAGACTCTCTCTGTTTGCTATCAAAAGCTCTTTTTCAGACACACTGAGAGGCTGAAATGACAGCATTGCTGGAATAAGACACAACAGTCTATTGAGCACCGCTACTGTACTTTTCTGTACTACCCTCCCTCTCACCCCGTACACTCCTCCAATCTCAGCCCATCAGCAGGTGCCCTGAAAGATGAATCAACCAATCTGTGCACTTATGAGATGTTTCAATGGTCAAGGTCTTTATTTCAACTTCTTACCCAAACACTACTTCACAAGGTTTCACAATGTAGTGCTAACAGCCCGTTGGAGTCGAGTCCTTTGATTAAATATGTGTGCAAATGTGTTTTAAATCTCCATAACTCTCAGATTTTAGGGCACTAGGAGTGTGTTGGTGCTCATGTGGTGGATGGTGAAAGTTTTTTTTAATGACATTTTCCCTTTGCTTCCCCCTGCTGGAGCAACACAGTTATGTTCCCTCAGTGCTTTGACACATAGGCTGAATTTGGAATTGCGTACTATCATACTATTTAGTAAGAGTAGTATGCTATATCAAACCAAACCTGTGAAAAGTACAGCATGTTCCAGGAGTGTTTGAAATACTAGTATACTGCTTTTGTAGCATATAGTATACTATGTATAACATTGTGAATTTTCTCTATGCATGAATGGATGATATTCTACTATTCTCTAAATGTGCAGCATACAGCAGAGCACACTTCTCTGGGCTGTATCCCACAATGTAATGTGCTTCACTTGTTCAGACTCATTTGACTGAACTTCTAAAATTGAACCAATTTGTACACAAACATGGACTGAAAATGCAAATAACAGAGATTCATTAATTATTCACTCACTGGAATTAAAAACAAGTAATGTGGTTAGGTCATGTGACAAGAGTCTAGCATGCTCCAGTTTGAAACATTTTGCATATGCTACTAACCCTAGCACAAATACATCACGGAGGCGTCTATTTGACGTCTGCAAGACATTTTTTTTTAGAGTGTTTGCTCATCTGCAATACGTCTATAGGACATTTCCTATCAGATGTCAAATAGACGTTTATAAGATGTCTTCAAGATGTTTATGATTTAGAATGTATGTAAAACTGACAATTGAAAGACGTCTATCAGATGTTTGTACACAGCAGATGCTTTCCAGATGAAGCGATCTTTAACAGACATCTTGCCGATGTACGTGTGCTATCTGGGAAGTGACATACAATTGAAGGAAAAAAAAAGCACTATACATTATAATGACATATTAATTTTTAAAGCAGTATACAGTATATACTATGTATACAATGTATAATAGTACACTAATACACTATCTTGTGTGTTTGAGAAATGTAACAGTCTGTCATCCCAAAAATAGGATGGGAGTAAAAAAAATAATTCTTACTAAAATACTTTGCGCAGGATAAAAAGACAAAGTAATAAATGCACTGATGCATGACAATGTGTGTAAGAGTGTGTATAAACGGATCTAATTCCTCTTGGGAACCAGTCAGACCAGCTCTCCGCGGTGTGTATTCATGTGTATATTTCTAATATCCTCAGGGCTGTTCATTTATGAATGCTCAGGATTGAGGAGAAACATCTGATCTCTCTCTTTATCCTCATATTCCTCTCTCTTTCAACACACAGGCACACGAACCAGCACTAAACCAATATAAGACCATCAGCAGTATATTATGGCTAAATATTATTCTATCACAGTATCATTCTAGGTGTTTTTTGTGAATTAGGCTAATCGTAGTAGGCTAATTATGTTCAAGTCAGAAAAATTATTTGCGTGAAATTACGTTTGTGAATGCTTCAGAACTATTTGCCATGATAAAGTACCTCAGTAATGTTGTCCGCAGTAGCACAGGCTTTTTAATTCTCCTTTCTCACAGCACGTCCTAAAAAGACACGACGGGATGCGTTTATAGCGACTTCATCTCTCATTCTGGAATCGAAGATGCTGCGCAGCCAATCAGGAGCGCAATTTTGATTTAAATTCAGGTGTGCGAAGCGGGATTTCAGACCAATGAAATTTAAGAGTGGGCGGAGCTATAGAAATAGGAGTCACGTGACCGATACACTTATATTTGTCACAGTCGCGACTGGTTTGTGGTTTGGATAAAAACGCGGAAAAGTCATTTATTTTGTCGTATTATCGCGTCGCATCTGATTAGGACATGATGTAGTGTCGGTAAGATTTCTAATGTTTATGAAAGAAGTCTCTTGTGCCCACCAAAGCTGCATTTATTTGATCAAAACTAAATGAAAACAGTAATATTTTGAAATATTATTACAATTTAATATATATGTTTTCTGTTTTAATATATTTTAAAATGTCATTTATTCCTGTGATATTTCAGCAGCCAGTCATTATCAATGTTTAAAACGGTTGTGCTGCTTAATGTTTGTGGAAACTGATACATTGTTTTTTCCCAGGATCCTTTGATAGATAGAAAAGGTACAGAATTTATTTAAAACAGAAATATTTTGTAACATTATACATTTATTTGTAACAAATGTATTTACTGTCACTGACTCACTTTTGATCAATTTAATGCATCCTTGATGAATAGAAGTAGTTATTTCTACTTAAAAAAAGTGAGCTTAAACTTTTAAATGACAGTTTATCTTTTTGCAAAATCGTTTTCTCCTCAAACATTGTTTTTTTCATTGATTGTGGCAGACAACCACACAAAGAGGGAATAATTTGGCCTTCATTTGCAAAGTACTGTTGAAAGCTCCCGGTGCTCCCAGATTCCTAAGAATTGCATCCCGCTAAAAGGCTGTGTGATCACTGGCCGAAAGCAAATTACCCACATTCACAGTTGGCACTGAAAAACCACTTATAGGTGGGGCCAGCAGCTGCGCTGTCCAATCAGAGCTCAGTCTGAAGTTGATTGACACATTCTAGTTCTACTGGGTCAAAACATCAAAGGGATTCTTTATGTAACATCAAAAAAGGAACTGTCCTATATAGTGTACTTGATGTGGACATGTGGACTTACAGTCTTGTGGTCTTCACTTGCACATGTCCGATTAGGTGCCAAAGCTATAGAGTGTTCCATTTGTGAATTTTATGATTCACAGGCTCATGCTGTGCCCTTTTGTGAAGACCTCGTGTGTATATTCCTTGAGTTTGTGTGTCAGCATGTGAGTACTGCGATGAGCTCGTCGATCGGCGCCGTCTCTGAGGGCTCCAGCAGTCTGAATGTGTGGCTGAAGGTGATGAAGTGCGTGAAGAGCGTGTTGAGCTGCGGGTGTATCTCCACAGCGATGGCGTCCTGGTAGTGAACGCTGAACAGGTGAGCCAACGTACGGAAGAGCATCACAAAGATCTTCTGAATCAGGAATATGAATCCAGAAGGGAACGATGACCCTAAAACACACACATATACAGTCACTTCTGTGAGTTCAGATCATTTTCAGCTCACTAGACTAAAGCTATGGCAAATTCTGATGGTGAGAACTTCATACCGGCCTTGGTAGGAAACACACGCTCATCTGAGAGTATCTCCTGGATGTAGGACAAGGCGTAGTCGATGTAGATCGGAGCTGAACACTTCAGTTTCTTCCCCTGATCGTCTGTCCATTTTCTTATTGTAGTTTGTTAAATCCTGTCTTGGTTTTACAGTGTAGCTTCCATCAAAATACCATAGTGACTACAGAGCTACCACTGTAAAACTGTTGTGATATTGTCTTGTTAACTATAATAAACTGTTACTTTGGCAATATTTTGTAAGGCGTACATACGCCTCATTTTATGCCTTTATTCAGGCTGTGAATTAAGTTAGTCTCTTAAGTAGCTGTAATGAAATGTGTTTGTTCTGCTCACAGGTTTCCTGAGCTTTTGGCTGCCGGACACGTTGTAATTGAGCAACAATCAGACAGAGCGCTGAAGAAGAGGGTAGTGTGCTGGAAAAACGACACAGCTGGAAGAGATGGTAAGATGAGTTAACACACATTACACACACAGAGCCTAACAAACCCACAGACTACTGCCAAACTATCTGATGCGTAGTTCAAACAAAAATTGCTGTGATTTTTATTTGTACATACTAATTTTTTTTTTTTTGTATTGTTTTTATTTATTTTTTATTCTAAGTGGGTGATCTCAGGTCAGAATAAGTTATGCTACAGACCAGCCTTTATTCAAACCTTGGTAGGAAACACACGCTCATCTGAGAGTATCTCCTGGATGTAGGACAAGGCGTAGTCGATGTAGATCGGAGCTGAACACTTCAGTTTCTTCCCCTGATCGTCTGTCCATTCATACAAACTGAACACAAGCAAACAATTCATTAGTATCCCTTACAAAAAAAATTCAATTGTAACCATGAACTATAAAATATTTTAGATTTTTACAGTAGTATATAATGAATTGACTGTATGTGATTCACATGTAGAATTATTATAATGCTCTGTAATAGTGCTTCAGCATGAATCAATTATACAGTCCCTGGTGTTTTTGCAGTCTCTGCTGTTGTTTGTGACAACAAAGCTACTTTTTATGAAATGATTGTTTAGGATTCTTTTGTAAATAATTTCATTGGGTGATATCTGCATGCAAAATAAACCAGTGATAACAACCACAACAGTACTGCAAATTTCCTCCACTTTAATTGAATATAAAAATATATAATAATATAATAAACTGTTACTTTGGCAATATTTTGTAAGGCGTACATACGCCTCATTTTATGCCTTTATTCAGGCTGTGAATTAAGTTAGTCTCTTAAGTAGCTGTAATGAAATGTGTTTGTTCTGCTCACAGGTTTCCTGAGCTTTTGGCTGCCGGACACGTTGTAATTGAGCAACAATCAGACAGAGCGCTGAAGAAGAGGGTAGTGTGCTGGAAAAACGACACAGCTGGAAGAGATGGTAAGATGAGTTAACACACATTACACACACAGAGCCTAACAAACCCACAGACTACTGCCAAACTATCTGATGCGTAGTTCAAACAAAAATTGCTGTGATTTTTATTTGTACATACTAATTTTTTTTTTTTTGTATTGTTTTTATTTATTTTTTATTCTAAGTGGGTGATCTCAGGTCAGAATAAGTTATGCTACAGACCAGCCTTTATTCAAATGTATAGATATGTGAGCCAAGCACAACACACGTTACTGAACATGATACATATGTTAAGAAATATTTGACATGTCTCTAGTGTATTGTTTCCGCCCTGAATTGAGTGTGTCATCATTATTTAATCACTGGGTGTTTAACTGTAAATGGCATTATGTGCTCTATGACTAGTGTGTGTATTGAATTTACACTATATATGTAAACACTAAACACTTTTTTCCAAAATATCAGTTTTAATTAATTTGAATACAGTTGTAAAAAAAACTGTAGTGGTAGGATTTGGGGTTGGGGTTAGTAGTGTTTATTTAAAAAAAAAAAAAAAAGTATTTATAAAAAATGTATTTTTTTCTGGCATTCATTTTTTATACTTTCTTTGTGATTTTGAATACTCACTGTTTGTTGCTATCCACTCCTGCTGGTCGAGGCCGTGTGGCAGGGCAGAGAGGGTCAGAAGGTCGAGATCAGTGATGCGTCTGGACAGGAAGTGATCTGTCAGGTAAGGTTTGACCTCAGCAGACGGGACTAAATGTAGACTGTTATTCTTTCTGTCAACAGAACATTCGATGAGAATTCACAGCTGAGCAATGTATTACATTTTGATAAAAGCTCTTTTTTTTATATATATAAAATTCACTAATGAATTGTGCACGGTATGACCAGGAATGGAGGGTCTAACGGAGTCATTTTAAACATTTAGTAGATGCTTTTATCCAAAGCGACTTACAAAAGAGGAACAAAAGCAATTTGTTAAGGAGCAAACAATATTTGTAATATACAATGCCAGGTTTATTTGACAACTAGATTAGGAAGCAAGCTAGAGAAGAGGAGAAATGCAGAAAAGGAATCTCATTTGAAAAGTGCTGATTTATAAATGGCTGATTTTGTGATGTGAAATTATTTTGCAGTGAGCATGTCTGCTAGTTAATTTGTGTTTAAATAGTTAAGCTGGTGCGCAAATAGCAAACCGTTTGTGAATACACAGAGAGTGACGTTACACAAGGACACACAGGGATGTAGTTTAGTTGTCATGTGTGCACACGGGGCTGGTCGATTACTGTATGTACTGAAAGGGCTTGTTTTCACCTGTTCATGTTTTCCGACAGCATTAGTGAGCAATCAGCACATTCTCACTGGAAAGAGTGCTGCTTTCTACTGTAGACAGCGCTAATAATTTTCATTCATGCAAATGAGAAAAACCACACAGACGCTGGCCTGACGGAGCACACTGAGTGTGTGAACACAGAGAAAACAGACCTCTAAATTCAGCCTTGAAATAACTGATATTGTGTGTTTGTGTGTGGTGGGAGGTTCGAGACGGTGGCCTTGTCCTGACTGATTAAAACACAGGCTGTGAGGTGGAATATCTTCCATATGGTCGCCCAAGAAGCATTTGGATACTTATTCCACTCTTATGCAGTGTATAAATGTTACTGCGTTAGATACAAACTATCAAACCAAGTGATATTTATTTTAAAGAAACATCACATGTACTTTTTAGTCAAAGCATTGCACAAAATAAGTGTGGTCGATTTGCAGTGTTACAACTAGAGAGATATAGAGAGGTAGAAAGAACTATATATATATATATATAGTACCCACTGTATATATATAAATATAAATAAATTTTTTTTTTTCAGTAAACTCTTGTACATCAAAGTGACTCGAATAACCATATTTACTTGATACTGGCTTCCATATTTTATATTTTCCTATTTTATCAGTTGAATTATTATTTTTTAATTATTTATCAGTTACATTATTTAATTATAGACTTGCTGAACTTTTGCTTCCTGTTTTCCAATTTGTTAATGTACATATTATGGCTGTAGTCATAAATAATACGCAAGTTTTCTGTTCATTTTAGTTTAGGTGAAAAGTGTGCATGAGTTTCTAAAATGAGATTCTAT